GACCCTCCCCTGCTCATGCTGTCTCTCTCTCTCTGTCTCTCTCTCTCCTAGAAAAAAATAAAAAAATAAAAGAGTGAAGTGTACAAGTATAAACACGCACATTAAAAAAAAAAAAAGAAAATCTCTGGAGTGCCTGAGGCACTCAATCACCTAAGTATCCAACAGGTGATTTCAGCTCAAGTTGTAATCTCACAGTCGTGAGATGGAACCCTACATCAGGCTTTGCACTGTGAGCACTTAGGATTCTCTCCCTCCCTCTCAAGCCCTGCATGCATTCTTTCAAGAGAAACTAATTAATTTTTTTTTAAAAATTGGAATACAAGGGGCGCCTGGGTGGCTTAGTCGGTTAAGCGTCCAACTTTCGCTTGGGTCATGATCTCGCGCTTCGTGGGTTCGAGCTCCGCGTCAGGCTCTGTGCTGACTGCCAGCTCAGAGCCTGGAGCCTGTTTCAGTCTGTGACTCCCTCTCTCTCTGACCCTCCCCTGCTCACGCTGTCTCTCTCTCTCTCTCCTAGAAATAAATAAAACATTTTAAAAAAATTAAAAAAAAAAATAAAGTAAAAAAAAAAAAAATTGGAATACAAATAACCAAAAGAGAAAAGAGAAAAAAAAATAGAAAAAAAATCAACAAAACAAACTTGGATTTTTGGAAAGGTTAACAAATTAATAAACCCTTAGTTAGACAAAAAGAGGAAAGGAAAGGAAAGGAAAGGAAAAGGAAAAGGAAAAGGAAAAGGAAGGAAAGGAAAGGAAAGGAAAGGAAAGGAAAGGAAAGGAAAGGAAAGGAAAGGAGGGAGGGAGGGAAGGAAGGAAGGAAGGAAGACTTAAATAACGAATCAGAAATACTGATTTCTGATACTGGAGACGTTACAATGGACACCAAAGAAATAAAAGGAATTGTAAGAGACAACTATGAACAATTACACACCAACAAATTGGATAACTTGGAAAAAAATAAATTCCTAGAAACCTACATACAACCTGCTAAGACTGAATCACTGAGAAATTTAAAAAAATCTGAACAGACCTACTGACTCAGTATTCCGAAGTCTCCATACAAGGAAAAGCTCAGAACCAGATGTTTTCACTGGTGAATTCTACCAAACATTGAAAGAAGAATTAACACCAATCCATCTTCAACTCTTCCAAACATATGCTGTCATTCCTCTCAGGTATATACACAGCAGTGACATGGATCCCACTCCCACAGAGCATATGGTAGCTCTATGTTTAACCTTTGGTGGAACTGCCAAACTGTCTTCCAAAGGGACTGCATTTTACACGACCATTAGTATTGTAGGAGGATTCCAATTTCTCTATATTTTTGCCAACATATGTTGTCTTATCTTTTTCATTAGAGCATCCTACTAGGTGTGAAGCAGTGTCTTACTGTTGCTCATGTGGGTAACATTTATGCTATAAAAAGTGGACATGCAAAAGTATGCTTAGTAAAACTATATATATGTTCAGAATATAAATTAATAGTATTTATGTGGTCCATATGATACAAGTAATATATAATAAAGTTTATGTACATGAAAAATTGAAAGTGCAAAATGAATACAAATATTGTATACAAAAAAAGACTACATAATTGTTAGTTGTGTTGCATAGGCATTACCCACATTGAAACTTCGGGAGATATCAGTCAGTTAAAAATTTACATGAATTGTGGTAAGACCAGGGAAGACATTCAGATGAAGTGACAAACAGTAAGAATAAGGAATACTGAGCTTCCACAGTGAACATACTGATGAAAGGCAAAGAAAAATGACTAATGGAGAGAAGGTTGGACAAATAGTCTCTTTTCACGAAGCAGCAACAGGGGCACCTGGGTGGTTCCGTCAGTTGAGTGGCTGACTTTGGCTCAGGTCATGACCTCACAGTTCATGGGTTTGAGCCTTGTGTCAAGCTCTGTGCTGACAGCTCAGAGCCTGAAGCATACTTCAGATTCTGTGTCTATCTGCCCCCTCCCCTGCTCATGTTCTGTCTCTCTCTCTCCCTCAAAAATAAACAGTAAAAAAAAAATTTCTTTTAAATAGGCTTTAAAAATAAATAGATTGAACAATGCAGGGAAATAGGTTTCTGACGGTTCTTAGAAAGATGATAATAAAACTGGTGTTTAAGGAATGAGAAAGAGCTAGAGAGGAAACACTGTAGTTAAAGATAACAGGCTATAGAAATGTTCCAGTTGTTAAAACTTGGGGACATTAACAGCTTGACTCAGGATACTGAAAAGCAGAGCAGTTGGGATTTAGAAGGAAAAAGCAACAAAATTTTGTGGCAGAAATGGCTCTTAAGAATAAAAGAGAAAGGCAGTGCATGGCCCAGTCAGTTAAGTGTCCAACTCTTGATTGTGGCTAAAGTCACAATCTCATGGTTCATGGGATAGAGCCCCGTGTCAAGCTCTGCACCGATAGCGCAGAGCCTGCTTGGGATTCTCTCCTGCTCTCTCTGCCCCTCCCCTGCTCTCACGCACTCCCTGTCCCTCTCTCTCTAAATAGAAGTAAATAAACTTAATATATCTATGTTTTAAAAAAAGATATGTTGAAGGTAATACCAGGGCAAAGGACAAAATGCAAACCGAAAAGCTGAAATTAAGAGTTTCATGGGGAAGAAGTGAGTTCAATTTTGACCTACTGGCATGAAATGACAGTTGAGGACAAAGAGTGTCCAGTAGGAAACAGAAACAAATCAAGAGTAATGGTTTTCAATCTTAGATATTTTTCTTTGTTTTAAAACATTTTTAATGTTTATTTTTGAGAGGAAAAAGAAAGACAAAGCACAAGTGGGGAAGAGGCAGAGAGAGAGGGAGACACAGAATCTGAAGCAGGCTCCAGTCTCTGAGCTGTCAGCACAGAGCCTCACACCGGGCTCGAACTTACGAACTGTGAGATCATGACCTGAGTTGAAGTGGGACACTCAACTGATCGAGCTACCCAGGTGCCCCAATCTTAGATATTTTTCAACCTATGAAAGGTGTTTGAAAAGAGATGCCCATTTCCATTTCCCACATCTTATAGTAATAGGTCCATGCGACAGAGGCTTGGTCTAATAAGGAACTGTGACTTCAGAGGACTCTTGGAATGGCAGCTTTTGGTTTTCCAACCTTTTAAAGCATAGAGACATACACCATAAGCCTGTGAAAGTGTTTAGTGAACTATGTACACTGGCATTTAAACCTCTTCTCACACATACTTCAAGAGCATGGTTCCTAACACAATGCTGTGTCCAGATTTCTGACTCCAATTTCAGCAATTGTACATGCACTTATTTTGAAAAGCTCCAAGTTATAAAGGCAGGTAATAAATTCTGAATTCTAAAGAAAAGATTTATCTTGATTTGATCAGGCTGTATCTGTCATAGCTACAGGACAGGGGGGTGCAAAGTGACATACATTCCTTTTATAATTTATCAAAGTTATAATAATTTTACAGATATGTGCAATCACTTGATCTTTATCTTGGTCTTTAGAATATAGGGACTATATCTCATTTTGCACACCATACTAATTAACTAACACCAAGTAAGTGCTCAAATTATACATATGAAAGAATGAAATGGGCTCTATCCCAAATCTTCAGAATTTGAGTAAGTGCTGGAACTAGGTATACACATTTAAAACCTGAAAATAATGTGCATCTTTCTTATAAAGGTAGTAGCTACTTAAGCACTCAAGCGAAACGATCTAGTAAGAGTTCAGTTCTTTACTAAAGAAGCTATTTCCAAAGCAACAATAACTGCTGAAAAGTAAAGCAAATGAAATAAATGTTAAAAGGACACAGAGTAAAGAGCAACTGTCTGCTAAGAGATTCTACCTACTTAAATCTACAGTATCAGGTTATTAATCAGGTAAGGCTCTGGATCTATTAACTACCCTACAAATGTAATTACCCTAATAGCAGATTTATGTTCTGAATATTGTTAATTCTCACAATAACCATCTCCCTCCATTTTATTGATGAAAACACATGTCCTCATTATGACTCTACTCACAAAGCAAGTTAAGTGATGTAAAATCTATTTTAAGTGTTTGTCTCATATCTTTACTGAATACTATCACTAAACTATGATGTCTTTTCTAAAAGTTCATCAACAATGCCACATATATGCCACCATATAATGCTCCCTAACAGAAATCACCAATTTACCTATGTGTCATAACTTTACAAAATAAAGACATAAAGATTCCTAAGTTAGTCCTAAAGAATTTCTATGTTTCTAACATATCTTCCCCTTGTGACCCTAAAACAAATATGAAATACAGTATTAGAAATACTAGACTTATCACCAGTTGAGTCAAATTATTCAGACACTTTTATCCAGTAAAAAGAAAATAACTATTATTATTACATAATATATGTATAAAATATTTTATAAGGGAAAAAAAAAAAAAAAACCAGCCTGGGTGGCTCAGTAAGTTGGGCATCCAAGTCTTGATTTCAGCTTAGGTCATAATTTCACGGTTTGTGAGACGGAGCCCGGCACTGGTCTCTGAGCTGGCAACGTGGAGCCTGCTTGGGATTCTCTCTCTCCTTTCTGCCCCTACCCCATTCACATTCTCCTCTCTCTTTCAAAATAAGTAAATAAACATGTTTTAAAAAGTAGATAATATTCTAAAGCTTTTAGAAAAAAAGAAAATAAGAATCACATGTGGAATTTGACGAATTTACTAAATTCATTACTGAATTATACCTTGAGGTACAAATTCTCTCAGGAGCACCTTATAAACAAGGTATTTTAAAATTAGAAGACAATAATAATGGGGAAATAATCAGTAAATTTTCTTTAATTTCTCTCCCAACTATTTCTTAAATAATAACTTAAGAGGTTCAATAAATACTTGTGATTCCATTTCTTCCATAAAACTTGCTACATTTTAAGATCAGATGACAGTAGCGTAAGGCTGTTAACAACTCCTTCATCCAAATTATTCCTAGAAAATTTGGATTCAACATATTCTAAGAAAAAAATCCATAAAATTACTTAGTATAGACTTACCCAGGTTTCCTTGCTCGATTGTCAGTACCACCTCATCCATCACCACAGCTCTAAAGTCCAACTCTTCCTCACAACATTTGGCCTTTAATGCTCGTAAAATCTCTTTTTGGGGATAGTCTTCCCTGATTCGACGATCTGTCAAAAACCACAACTTGGCCGCCACAGAGCTACACATCTTGATCTGCTTGTTCTTCCTTTTCCTGGATTATTTCCTCCTGACTGCCGATTCTTTCTAGACAGAAAAACCAAATACACATAGAGGGTAAATAAAGAAATCTACTTAAGGACTTTCATGTCTGTGTGGATCCTCCATACAGATGAAATTAAACTTTATTTCCTCCCATTAAAAAAAAAAAAAAGGGAAATTTATTTGAGGCACCTGGCTGACTCAGTCCCTCGTGTGTGACTCTTGATCTTAAGGTTACTTAAGGTTATGAGTTAGAGCCCCATATTAGGTGTGAAGATTACTTTAAAAAATATATAGTAAGAGGGTGCCAGGATGGCTCAGTTGGTTAAGCAACCAAAGCTTGATTTTGGCTCAGGTCATGATCCCAGAGTCATGGAATCAAGCCCGGTGTCAGACTCCAAGCTGGGCAAGGAGTCTGCTTGAGATTTTCAATCTCTCTCTCTCTCTCTCTCTCTCTCCCTCTGCCCCTTCCCCCACTCATGCACTCTATCTAAAATTAAAAAAAAATTAAAAATTTTTACACCACTAAATTTAGAGGAACTCACAACCTCCTCTGAAACAAAATTCCTCCATCTTCCACTGGGGAAGTTAGCACTGCAGTTTAATAATTACAGCAGGTCACTTAATAAAAGTGCCATTTTCAATATTATATATTCAATGACATTCCCTATAATATATATGGTCTAGAAATATACTTTAATCTGATCATCTACTTTTGACTGATTTATTGCCTCCCCTAAAATGCAAACACCTTGACATAAAATAGACGAGGCTGTAATCATTAGTGTATCCCCATATCTCCTATCATGGTAAACTCCATTTATATATGTTCATGTTTCTGTAGTTTTTATTCAATTGTCTTCCCTTGTTTTGTCATATGTATGTATATTTTCTTACCAACATATTTATAGGAATGTTTTAAATGAGACAGTGACACCTTTGTTATTATATAAGTATCAACACCGAAGTCGTTTATGTAACAACTTTAATCGAAGTAAATAGCTTGAGAATATGGAAAAAAAACTTTTAAAAGCCAAAATAAATGTTGGGGTCCATTCACTAGAATTTATTTAAGTCAGAGGACAGCATGCTCTTACTCAATGTTTTTATGCTTACTTTAAATAGAATTTTTTAAACAAACTCGGACTGTTTACAGGAATACAAAAAAGGACTTTTTTCCACAAATAGAGTGCTGCTTCTCAGAGTTTGCATCATGGGCAAGAGCTTGTATCATGAGCAAGACAAGAGCTGAAAATTATTTTCCTGAGAAGAAGCAAAAAGTTACACATTTTACTAACAAACATTAACAGGGGATTTCAACAAAAAGACTTTCTTTTTAATTGTTATTTTTATTTTTTTTATTTTAGAGAGAGAACATGGGCAAGGGAGACAGGCAGAGGAGGAGAGAAAGAATCTGAAGCAGGCTCCAAGCTCAGGACAGAAAGTGACACAAGACTCAGCTCAATCCCAGGACTCTGGGATGGTGACCTGAGCTGAAAACAAGAGTTGGAGGCTCAACCGACTGAGCCTCCCAGTCACCCCCACACAAAAAAAACACTTTTTACAAAAATAAAATTACTGGGGCATCTGGCTGGCTCAGTCAGTAGAGCATGCAAATCTTGATCTCAGGGTTGTTAAGTTCACGTCTCATGTTGGACAAGGAGCCTACTAAAAGTTTTTAAATTCCTCATATCACCCCAGATGACACAGCAAACCTAACAGAAAAAAGGGCAAGGATAAGAACTAGAGGAAGCAAAAGCCATACATAGAGCGGGCTTTCAGCATCACGGCAACTGGAAGTGGCCCCTCATGCACCATCCACACACTCTCTAAGGTCTCAGCCTGAAGGCACACAAGACTAGAGTATCATGAGCCAGCAGCACCACCACACACACCCACGTGTCCCACAGCGTGGGGTCTAAAAGGCATCAATCACAGGAAAGCAGGGAAAGAATAAAATAACATGGGACATACAAAAGTTGTGACTTGTAGCTTAGGAAAAGCAAGGTTAAGAGCTCTGTTATGGTGATGCATCAGGCCAAGACCCAAGGAACCAACAAAGGAGACGCTTGATGCCCACAACCTTCTAGCCTGCTGTGCTCTTGATCCACAGCTGTGGTCAAGAACATGCCCTCTGAGGGGCACCTGGGTGGCTCAGTCGGTTAAGCTTCCAACTTCGGCTCAGGTCATGATCTTGCCATTCGTGGGTTTGAGCCCCGCGTCAGGCTCTGTGCTGACAGCCAGCTCAGAGCCTGGAGCCTGTTTGAGAATCTGTGTTTCCCTCTCTCTCTGACCCTCCCTTGCTCACGATGTCTGTCTGTCTGTCTGTCTGTCTCTCTCTCTCTCAAATAAAACTTTAAAAATAAATGGGGCGCCTGGGTGGCTTAGTCGGTTAAGCGTCCGACTTTCGCTTAGGTCATGATCTCGCGGTTCGCGGGTTCGGACCCGCGTCGGGCTCTGTGCTGACTGCCAGCTCAGAGCCTGGAGCCTGTTTCAGTCTGTGACTCCCTCTCTCTCTGACCCTCCCCTGCTCACGCTGTCTCTCTCTCTCTCCTAGAAATAAATAAAACATTTAAAAAAAAAACAAAAAAACAACTTTAAAAATAAATAAATAAAATGAAATAAAAAATAACATGCCCTCTGAAGCCTTAGGCTAGATGTAGTAATAATTCAACTTACACAACAGGCAGATATGGTCACTAGGGAGTCTCAGAAGACAAGCTCCAAAGAAAAATCGTACCAGAGTACCTAATGTAAAAGATCCCGTTTTCTTTGAGACAGGCACTAATAAAAATGATCTTAATTAAGACTGGATAGTTTTGGAAACCTCTGTCAATGATCTCCATTATTCCAAAGCCATCTTGGTGCCTTCACTTACCCTGAATTGTTGAATGTCGTCTGTTCACCGATATGACTAAATTTCACCACATGAAATTGTACTGAATGAGTACAGCAGTTGTGGCCCCAAGAGAAATCAGGATGAGATGCTACAGCCACTGGCAACTGGGAAGCAGAACTGTTCTGCCAATACTGATATGTCAACTTGTTGAAAATGCTCAGGCCATACTAGTAAGACTATATGGTGTTTTCAACGATTCTACAATCAGATAATAAAAGCACTCCAAGCCTGCAATCTCACATAGTTGTGCAACTCCTGACAGATGGTGTATGTGAGCATCTCCATGTCTGGCTTCATAGCTGCAGCTCTGATATCCTTGCGTAATCTTTGGGTGTTTCTACACTGGTATGCAACCAACAACTGAAAGTTCAGATTAGCCTCCCTATCTCCTTTCATTCTTTTGATGAACTCCAAATCCTCTTGATCCTGGGATTCTAACAGAGAAAATGGTGCTCAGTCTCTGTCTTCATGATTTGAAAACAAGCCTAGAGAGCTCATCGTTTGCCACAACTGGACTACATCCTTTCACACGGAATACCTGCACCCCCAGATCTGGAACTGGAGGAATGTTCTCACCCTGCAGAAGACTATGAAAAAGACAGACACTCTCTTGAAAAGGTCCAACATCAATGTCAATGGTTGTGGTTCCTCAAAGTCCACACAGTGGCAGTCAATATGGCAAGACCTGGGGATCATCACCTTGTCCTGCACCAAGGTATTTTTGCTCAGATGGAATATATTTTCCTTATCAGCTTCAAAAGAGTCTTATGTTATGTCTTGCTTTTCATGGAAAGAATCACAGAGGTATGGCACACCGTGTTCCAACGCATTCTTCCTGTAGACCAAGTACATGACATCCCTTGAAAAGGGCAAGTCAGCTTAACAACCTCTAGCTTGTCACTTACTGTTTCACTGGTACTGATATTTTCAAGTGATACCTATCCAATTTTTCAACTTACACAGTATAATTTTACAGTAATCTCCAAAGTCCAGTTTACTGATAGAGAAAGAAAGAGCACAACCTCTCTTCCACCGAATGGTCCACTTCTATTTCAACAGCTCATTGAGGGGCCACTGGTGGTCCCCAGGTACCCAGGGTTGCTTGACTTCACCAGGTTGCTCCACTGGGATTCACATATAACAATAACCAGGAAACAATCAGGTAAAGATTCTCTAACCTTCAAGGTAGAAGCTTTGCATTCCCTCCCCCTTCCCAACCCCCCCACACTGGCCCTCCTGGTCTGGGAGGCCTCCAAAACCTTCCTATGGGCCAGGAGGAGACCAGTAGGCCAGGACCCCCTCCAACAAATCTACTTTCCCCATCCATAAACATCAGGGAAAAAAGAAAAAACAAAACTGCTGATAAAAAAGCGTTATGGTAAATCTACACAGTTCAGGAGACCAACAGTACACAAATGTGTAAAATGATAATCCTGAGTCCTTTAAAAAAATTTTTTTTCAGATTATATTCACTATTTTAAATGTCATAAAAGCCCAGCATTGGGCTCTGTACTGACAGTGTGGAACCTGCCTCAGATTCTCTGTCTCTCTCCCTCTCTCTGCCTTCCCTCCCCAGCACGCTAATTCTGTCAAAAAAAAAAAAAAAAACTTTAAAAAAGTTTCTTCTCCAAAAGTGTTACGATAAATACAGGATTTGCAAATGTCCACATAAGAAAAAAGAAAAAAGAAAAAGAACATTATTTCTGCACTGAGAATGTAAATTCAGATCAACTAATTCCTGTCCTCAATTTATTTCCCCCACAGTATCAAGGAAAACAATGTGCAAATATCAGATACCAAATAAATGCCACTGATTAACTATGAAAACAGGTGTGTTTCTTGTCTTTTGTTTTTAATAAGGAGACATTCAACAGTGAAAATTCAGTTTTATATGAGAGATAGTTTTCCCATGTAAACTTCTGGATATACAAACCAATTAAAAAAGTCACTGTCATCTGTCAATAATATAGTTAAGGTTAATTAAATGGGAATAAAAAATAAAGTGCTTCATTCATTTTTCTCATAAGGTCACATCCCAATGTTATTTTGCTAGGGAAAAAGCAAAAATCACAATCTACCATTTGAAGATCTTAAGGCACCTCTTACTACAAAGAAACTTACTTATTCCAGATAAGACATAGCATATGAACCTAGAATCAAAAGACTGAAAAAAAAAATAAACGTTAGATAAGAAAATATAGAGTATGTGTATATGTAATACACATACACAGAGTGTGTGTGTGTGTGTGTGTGTATATATATACATAATGTACAAATAAAAATTTACTCCATCTGGCAATTACTACAGATGTGTTTTCAATGACATAATTTCTGTCTGGGATGGGGAATACAGGAGTTAGATCAGGCATGTACAGAAAAATAATAAATTTGTAGATCTTGAGTTGTAGACACTCCTTCAGTCTACTTTTATGTGACAGCTCTCTTCTCTGTACATAATCCCCTGGGCTTCATTCTTAAACCCTTCACTCCTTTCTCTAGAAATGTCATCCTCAGTCAGGCTTTAACTATATCATTAAAATGTGAACATATCATTGACCCACCAAATATCTCTTTCCAACCTGGAGTTCTCAACTGAATTTAAGATCCTATTTCAATCTGCCTCGTGGACATCCCTAACTAAATGCCAACAACAATGCCTCAGTTGAGCAAGTAAAATTCTGAGGTATTTTTAATTCACATACCTTCTTCAACACTTGATTTCCCATTTTAATAGTTCAATATTATGCATCAACCTGGCTAAACAATGGTGCCCCAACTGTTTGGTCCAAACCCTAGTCTACATGTTGCTATGTAAGTACTTTGGAAACAGATTAAAGTCTATACCAGTCGACTCTGAATGAAGGAGATTACCCTCTATGATGTGAATGGACTTCATCCAATCTGCTGAAGGTCTGAACAGCAAAAACACGTTTCCAAGAGAAGGAGCTCTGCATCAAGACTCTAACACAGAAGTTCCTGCCTGAGTTTCTAACCTACTGGTCGGCCCTACAAATTTCATACTTGCCACAATCACACTAACCAATTCCTTAATTTCTATTTCCTTCTTTCTCTCTTTTCCCTGCTCCTCCCTCACTCCATCCATCCCTCTCCCTCCACATATATACAATTTCTTATTGGTACTCTTTCTCAGAAGAATACTGCCTGATATACTCATCCTAATTTTAGCATTTAATTCAGGAACTCTGGCATCATTCTTACTTCTATTCTTCCTTCACTACTTAAACATACAATTACAATAGTAATCCTATTTTCTAAATATCAGTTGAATTTCCTATTCATCCCTGGTATGTGCACCATTTAACACCTAAAAACACTAAAAACACCTCCAAACTAAACTTCTACCCTCTATTCTCTCTCATTTACCAATTTCCTCAACATATTGTATTTTCTCATGCTTCCTTTTGCTTAGAATATACATCCGAGGGGCGCCTGGGTGGCTCAGTCGTTAAGCTTCCAACTTCAGCTCAGGTCATAATCTCACCATTCCTGAGTTCAAGCCCCACATCGGGTTTCTATGCCGACAGCTCAGAGCCTGGAGCCTGCTTTAGATTCTGTGCCTCCCTCTCTCTCTGCCCCTCCCTTGCTCTCCCTCTCTCTCAAAAATAAACAAAAAAAAAAAAAAAAAAAAAAAAAGAATATACATCCTACTAGACCTACCTTAGTGAATACTGGGGTCACTAATACATCTGTTAGGTTTTTCTGACTTACAAAAATCATCCTAAATCTGTGAATCTACATTATCTTATTATACACATATTTTAGCAATTATCACAGTATGTTGTAATTAATTTTTTTAATACTCTGACAGTGCTATAAGATGAATTTTTAAAGGGAGTCATCTGGGTGGCTCAGTTGGTTGAGTGTCCAATTTCAGCTCAGGTCATGATCTCCCAGTTTGAGTTCAAGCCCCACATCAGGCTAAGAACCTGCTTTCCATTCTGTCTCCTTTTCTCTCTGTCCCTCCTCCATTCATTCTCTGTCTCCCACTCTCTCTCAAAAATAAATAAACATTCTCCCTCCATAGGGCTCATGGCTGCCTAGGGGAGAGACCGGATTCTACTGATTTTTAAAGACAATTTCTCTTTTATAGGGCTAACTCATAATTCAAAGGTATGTTTAAGTTGGTGTTTCTCAAACTAGGGTCCTGAAACATATTTGGGGGCTCTGAACATTTTTCCCTTTATTATAAACCTGGAAAAGTTCATGGGCCTTAATCTTACTCTTAATTATAATCTTGTTTATTAATCTGAATCTTACTGAACACAGGAGTTAAGTCTTCTTATCCTCAGAATCAAGCATTTCTAAAATACAATATGCCTGGGCACCTCGGTGGCTCAGTAGGTTAAGTACCTGACTCTTGATTTCAATTCAGGTTATGATCCTGAGCAGTTCATGGGATCAAGCCCTACATCAGCCCCACATCGGATTCAGCACTAAGACCATGGAGCGTGCTTGGAATTCTCTCCCCACTCTCTGCCTCTCATGCACTCAAATGTGCATGCTGTCTCTCAAAAATTTAAAAAATACATTAAAATCTTTAAAAAATAAAACCTTTAGAAAAAAAGAAGGATGGGGTGCCTGGGTGGCTTCAGATTCTGTGTCTCCCTCTCTGTCTCTGTCCCTCCCCTGCTCATGCTCTGTCTCTCTCTCTCTCAAAAGTAAATAAAAATTTAAATAAATTTTAAATTTTATTAATTAAAATTAATAAATTTTAAAAAAATTTAAATAAATTTTTAAATAAATAAAAATTAAAAAAAAAGAAAGAAAAAAGAAGAATGGGTGAAAAGGAAGAACCATACCATTTGGGGGTAGGAGATACAGAAAATGACTGAATGATACACTGAAAACCTCAGAAGAGTCTCAGAAACAACCAAATAATAGTCTTAGTCCAATTAGCCCATTACTCATAACATTCATCAATAAATAATCTTCAAAAAAAATGTCCCTCTGAAACCTGGGTAGTTCCTATAAAATCTCATCCTTTACCTAAGATGCCACACAAAATAAGATCACTGTTTAGGTGTTCTGAATTTATTTTAAAAACACCATTTTCTTTGCCACATTAACTTTAACGTAGACTGGAATGCTTTGAAAGTAGGAGCAGGAGGCTAGATATCATTCAAAGTAGCTATGACAGAAAAGAAATGTACAATAGCCCTCACAGTCATCTCCTTATATTCAAAAGGATATACCTCAAAGATAGAAAAAACAAATAAGTTCCTAAAGGTTACATGACATACTAATTCATACTCTCCTTTT